GTCTTCCTGGTCAGGTGGCCTGTAGCAGACCCCCACCGTAATGTCACCTGTCCCTGCCTTCCCTTTAATCCTGACCCACAAGCTCTCGGTCTGCTCCTCATCCATCCCTGGGCAGAGCTCCATGCGTTCCAGCTGGTCATTGACAAAGAGGGTGACACCCCCTCCTCGTCTCCCCTGCCTGTCCTTCCTAAAGAGCCTGTATCCCTCCATCCCAACACTCCAATCATAGGAGCCATCCCACCACGTCTCTGATATGCCAATAAGGTCGTAGCCCTGCAGGCATGCGCACGTCTCTAACTCCTCTTGTTTATTCCCCATGCTACCTGCATTTGCATAGAGGCATTTAAGTTGGGCCCCCAATGTAAATGCTGTCCAGTGTTCTCAGGCCAGGTTTGGGTGCCAATTTAAGATGCTGGTAGGATACTAAAGGTATATGAGGGGTTCCAGTGATTAAGAAAGTTGACTTGCTGCATACATGGAGAATGTTGCACTGCCATAAGAAAGGTCTGCTTTAGAAATAACCCCAGACTCCCTCCTTTCTGGTGTTTTGCACAAAGGTGGTAATGTGACTGTGTTCAGGGGAAGATGTAGAGACTGCTGTTTCATCCATGTACTCAACATTTGCAATATTAACTGGCTATTTTAAGGAAGATGTAGATTCACGCTATTGTAACAATAGAACACAATGTGAAACAAGTTGGATGAGGAAAATGAGAGAAAAAAAAAGGTTTTATGTGAAGGAATAGTCCAAATAACAATATAAAAAACATTCCACCTAATAAAGCTTGCAATGAACTTATGGAACACATTACCTAACAAGTAGGTTTTGACCCAGAAAGATTTAAGGAGTGGGATATCCTGGTAGCTGGTGCCTATTGAAAAAGGCTTTTGTTGAACTTTAAAAGGAGTACGTAGTAGCATATTTTTAGTCACTCTTGGCAGACTACTTCCCACAGTATCAGCTGCCAGTATCTCAGCACATTATTTTTATAACTGCTTGGGGGAAATGTTAGCTAATTTTCAGTGTTACATATATTATTGATTATGGTTAAATGATGACATTTATATCTGGGGATAAACTTTAGAAAGTGCAAATAGCAGAGTAGTCACTGAAGTGTGCTATTTTCAAGATTAATCTTGCAAGCAAATATGTTTTTAATCAAACCAAAAAGCACCCAGGAAGATGATGTGCAAGTGTAGGCACCAAAAGACTAGAGCTCTCTTCCTTGATGCAAGGAATCCTCTGCAGTGACTTCTGTCCAAACTTGGATAGAAGTCACTGGAGAGGAAATGTTTTAATTAAAAAGGTTACATACCTGCATTTTATTCTTATTGCAGGCTCGGCATTATTATCAGATCATCAAAAGGCCAATGGATTTGTCAATCATACGAAAAAAGCTGCAAAAAAAGGACAAGTCCCACTATTCTGCACCTGAGGAACTTGTGACGGACGTGCGTCTCATGTTTTGGAACTGTGCAAAGTTCAATTATGTAGGTTTCTAACATGCAAGGGCGGGGGGATACAAACCAGAGGGTTGCTTTTTCAAGCTGTCACACTGGTGTAACTATTGGTTCCATTGATGTCAGATATGGGATTGGGATAAACAGAAGTATTAACCAGTTTTACTCTTTGGAAATGATATAATTTTTTTTTAATAACAGAAATGGAGAAAAATATAGATCTGAGAACTTGAGATACATATAGATCTAAAATTAAAGAGGGACATCTTAGCAGACAGCTTTTTGGAATGATGCTGAGTTTGCTGTGAGAAACCAGTCATAGCCGGCAAAATAGCTAGGGAAAATTCAGGTGCATAGAAATTCCTAAGCAATGATGACTGCTATTCTTTCTAGTTCACTGCACGACTCTTTTTCTTAGAGGTGCAGAAACGTGTTCCTTAATAGCAGCATCTGGTTTTTACTTACATTGTCGATGCAGAGGGACTAATGGGCTGTAGAAAATGGGCAGGAGACTAATGGAGATGTATCAGACAGAACCAAGGCGAGACATTAGGGTTGGGTAGTCATTTGGTTTTGGTCCTTGATGATTTCTGTGTGTGGTAACACTGAATGGTTATTTATTCTCTTACAGCCAGATTCAGAAGTTGCTGAGGCTGGACGATGCCTAGATGTATTCTTTGAGGGCAAACTGAAGGAGATTTATCCAGATAGGCATTTTCCTTCAATGCAACAAGAAGACTCTGATTCTGAAGAAGTGGAGAGTCAGAATAGCAAAATGCTGCCCCAAGGTTTTCAGTGGCCATCGTATGGACAGGAGTGCATTCAGCCTAAAAGGAGACGGCGCCATGCTGTAAGATTGCAAAAGCAAAAGCATTTGGTTGCTAAGTGGCCACCCTGCTAATTCTGTTTACAGCTACTGATGGGAAGTTTTGACAGGGCTGTGTGGGAAAACTGTCAAGCTTCTATCGCAGAGATGTGATCAGTTCTACAATTTTATGTCAAGATCCTCTGAGTGGAATAAAGTGTCAGTTGTGTATAAATGTGTGAGCATGAACAAATGAAGTCTCTCGGGCCACAGAGTTATCTTCCTAGCAGAAAACTCTGTCAAGATTTTTAAAAAGACTAAGCCCTCTAGCTATTCACTGTTTGTTTCCCTTGTACAGAGGAAAGTGAAAAAACTAAAAGAATTATGTTTCAGCCAGCTAACAGCCTTCCTCAGGTATGACCTCCTCAAGATACGAGATTTGGTATGAGGAATCCAGCAGCAAAACTGACAGAGTTAAGGTGTGTGGGAGGAAAGCAAAGCACTCGGGCTGTTTATTTAAACTCTCCTAATCTGCTGACCATATGCCTTATTTCTAGATCTTGTGGATAGATAACAGATCCAAAGTGTTTGAATCTGTCAATATTCAATCTGTTAAATCATGTATATGTTTTGCAGTGTTTACACTGAAGTACTAATGTTTTGGTGATAGGCAATGATAATTAATAATAAAAGTAACATGCTAATAATATCTAATACTGCAGTACCATTTTATAATCTGTTCAACATGACATCTCTATTTTATAGAACACAGGTAACCATGTAATAATCTTGCAACCTCTGCGTGAATGTTGGCCATGCTTTGTCATAAATACAATGTGTAGTCATAAAAGCCGTAATCCTGTTGTCTTATTCAATGATCTTTCTGGGAGCTTGACTGCTCAAGGCCTATGAGATACAGTCTAATGTGATTATCTGATTAGCTGTTTCTTTTGAAGCAGAGCATTTTCATTAAATCACGAAAGAACAAGTGCTAAGAGTGCTGATACTAGGGCTCTGTGTGAGCTGTTTCTGAGTGCATACTGGATGCTCTGTTTGCAAGGAATGATTCTTCCGGTATCTAATTCATGCTTGGTAAAGCAGTGTGGGGTTTCTCGGGTCTTAAAGGTAGCATTTTTAGACAACCCAAGCCAGTTGTTTTTCTTTAAAGCAGATATTGGAATTCAGTAAATTAACTATGATGCAAATTACATGGTTATAGAAGTGCCTATAAAATAACATCATATATTCCTGATTTTCTCTTTGCTTATTTCTTGTAGTTGTGATTACCAACAGTGCTAGAAGATGATGATAATGTGTATATGTAGAAGCTCAAACAAAATGAAAGGATGTCTAAGCTTTTTTTTTTTTTCCTAAATTCCACAATGTATTGGCAGAACACCACCAAGGGCCGGAAGAGCAATTTTAGAGTTCACTTGAACAAAGGGTAGCATGTAATTGTAAAGCCTGAAGGGTGGGATAGGTAACAAGACATGACACCTGATCAGAGTGTGATGGTTTGCAAGCTGCTTCCTGCCTCTTCCAGAAGCAGGTGAGCCAGATCTTTGCGTAGCCAATGATTTCTTTGTGTGTGTGAGGGGCATCTTCCTCCTTAGAGCTCTGCCCAGCAGTGTAAAGCTGGGCTGTGGTCTGGCTCTGGGAGAGAAGGGTTGTTGCAGATCTCAAACACAGTTAAAGTTCATTTTAATTAGGTTCCTGTAAATAAAGATGATATTTTCAGCATAGTTTATATGGGCTATTTGGTCTGGTAACCATGTATGTTATTTTAGATAACACTTTAAAGTAAAGTTTTATATATGAAATACTAAGACGTGAACGTTATATTCTACTATCTATGTGACTTACTGTTTGCCATTAACTTGGTAGTGAGCTAATGTTTTCTTTTCTTTGAAGAAATGAAAATCTGGATATTATAATCTGACTGGAAAACTGTGAGATGAAGGGACAGCCTTTTCATCTTCTATATGTGAATTCCTATGTGTTTGCTTTCTGTCAAACTCCTGTTCTCAAAACAGTAAGTGTCTTGGCACAGGAAAATGAGTGCAGGTTTGTAACTGAATTAATCACCCTTATCTGCTACAGGTATCACCTTTTCTCAGTTGGTAATTAATTCCTCCACCAAAGACCTATCTTTTACCATTAATAGTGCAAAAATGATATGCTGTATAGCCTTCATCTAGGGGCAAAGGTAGAGGTGGGAGAGACTATTGATGACTTCCTCTTTTCCTGGAAGAGCAGAGTCAACAAGAGCTTGCTTTTATTTCTTAAAGGCTGTAAGTTTGTTAACTGTACCATTAGTTTTGGAGAACACCTGTTTTAATAAAATTTATCCAGGGTATATTATGCCTTTATTAAAAATAGAAGTGTACCAGTTTGTCATCATATATAAGATACCCTTTGGATGTGTGCTGGCAGGACTCTTACGGCCTGAGCACTCTTAAGGCTAACTTTATTTTTGATTACTTCTCTAAGACATAGTAACAGTTAAAAAGTGCTCATAAACTTCATGTCATGTTGGTAAGCAGAACAAAAACTGAACTCATATGTATGACTTCACATACTTTCAAACACAAATCTGTGGGTCAGCAACTTCACAATACATTACATGTCGTAAGAACAACATTATCCATCTTGGACGTTGCCTTAAAATTGCTGGCTTGTGATGTTCCTGCTGCTGGACACCATACTGCCAGGGTCCGTGAATTATTGGGGCGTTTATTCTGTTGAAGTCCAGTTGCACACTGGTAACGGCACTGACAGGTATGAAAGGAAGGGTCTCTCTTCTAAAATCTAACAGCCCACGTGGCCTAAAAGAGAAGTGATAGGTTATGTAGTTACTTTTTCTTCTATCACACAGCCTATTTCACAATCCAGAATGTGTGGGAAAGGAAGCAAGGAGGAACCCCTGAAGTTTTCCACTGGAAGTAAGTATAGCAGAAACAAATGCCAGGAACACTGTGGAAACCCCAGCGAATGCACTAGGCTCCTGCAAGTGCAACCAAGGGCACAATTTTTCCTTTTGTCTTTACTAATGGGTTACATGCAGAATGGGAAGATCTTCTTTGTGCTTAAGCAGATGGAAAAGAGATTAATTACACTTCAGTAATAGGTCTGTTGAAGAAGAAATGACAGCTACAAATTTGACTTTCGTTCCCCTGCAGACAATTTCAAGGATGTACTTCTTCCAGTATCATTATAGCAGAATGGCGTTAGAGTTAATACAAACAGGTGTTTAACAATTCAGATTATCGAATGACTGCATGTTTATATGTGTAATGTGCTTTGCTGAACAATAAAATATGTGAAATGTATTTTTGCACATCAATCTGAAATTTTTGCTCTGAGTACATCTGCTTTCAATTAATATATGGATTTTATAACTTCATTTAACACTTATTAGCTAAGTTGTCAATAACTACTGATGGCAAAGCAGAATGGTTACAAAAGCAGCTATGCTAACACAGGAGATCAGCTTTCTATTTGTGCTGGAATTTTCAATACCAAGTAGATATCTTGCCTTTTCATTTTTCAATTAGTGTAAGTTAGTGAGAACCAAACACGCCATGAAGTAACAAAAAATGTTTGTAGTTTAAATATATGTATACATTAAAGTGCCAAAGAACACACCACTTACTAGTGAGATGAAAAAACTATTGTAGTGTAGTCAGCAGGAATCAGAGAAGATATTCTAAAATTGAAAAGGCTAGAAACTGAAGAATTATGGAATAATTTACAAAAAATAGGACAAAAATACTCTATTGGCAAAAAGTCAAGCAGACACTGCAAGTGTTTTTCTATCGTTACTGGTTCCTCTCAGTTTGGTTTATGAGAGTATAAAACCATCAGCAGCAACTTTCTGACCTGGAGGCCTACCGGCTTGAGGGATAAGGAATCCTTCTTTCAGGGTTACAGCTGTGCTGCTCTTCAGACATAATTAAGAGAGAATTTGTAGATAGAGGTAACTTTTTTATTGTATACACAGGAAAATATAGAAAAACTTCTGGGCATGCAACTCCTTCAAGTGTGAAATACAGGCAATAGACCTCAAAGCTAAATACCAGCTGAGTTTCTCTGACTTTAATTAGATATCAATGAGATAATCTGAGGGAAAATAGAGATAGGCAGTAGTCATGGGCTAAGGAGGATGCACATCTTTTGAAGCTGTCATTGTAGATCAGGAGCAAGAAGTGAGAGGTGGAGTGATTGTTTTTTGAGAAATGTTACCCCACTGTCTGTTCCTGTCCTTTGGTACATGTTTATGAAAGTCGATTTTAGTGTGTATTTATGTGCATGTTCATGAGAGCATTTAGTAGATTGGTAGCATTTAGTCTACTAAGTAGACTTTCATAGAAGTTTATATTAGGATATGTAACAGTAGGAACATGGTATTTGGATGGCTTTGTTGTGAAAAGTGTTTACTGTGGTGGGAATACTTACTGTGGAGATGAGAAATTGCAACATTCAAATCTGTTGTCAAATTTCTAGCTCCACTTGCTCCATTTTCATTCCAAGTGTCTGAAAAGAGGTTCTTGAAAGATACTTTTCAGATAACTTCTTCCTGCCTAGGATGTAATTTGTAATGGATTCCCTGTAAATTCTATCTCACAGTATATTTTTGCTGTAGAAAAGTCTTTTTTAGGTTAAGGAGATAAGACATGCAAGTGTTTTTCCCAGAGCAAATAGGGTAGTGTCTGAAGGTCAGGGATTATTTTACTGCTTTTGGAGAGTGTTTGAGATGGTTACCAGTTTTATGGAAATAGCAACACTGATTTATGGTTGTCCTGTGGATGTTAGTTTCTAAGTTACTATTCTTGATCTTGATTGTGGCGCCTAGGACATTTATGTCAGTACGGAAGTGTTCCAGAGGCAGTCTGATATTGAGGCAATGCTTATTAAATCTGTTGTGAAAGTCAGTGAGGGAATCCAGGTTTCAGGTACAGATGATAGAGATGTCACTTAGTTATTTTAGGGATAACATAGATGCTATGTTCCTAGATGGTCTGTGCTGAGGTGATATATCTGTCCTTTATTCCAACATTCCTCCCTTACCTGATGCACCTGTTTGCTTGCCACACTAGAATGACTTTTTGACAATGTTTGTCATTAACAGTCAGTGAGGGAATCCAGGTTTCAGGTACAGATGATAGAGATGTCACTTAGTTATTTTAGGGATAACATAGATGCTATGTTCCTAGATGGTCTGTGCTGAGGTGATATATCTGTCCTTTATTCCAACATTCCTCCCTTACCTGATGCACCTGTTTGCTTGCCACACTAGAATGA